ACATTTTTTAGTAGTTGAGCTTGAGTTTGCAGTATACATGTACAAGTAACCCAAGTTCTCTCTGAAGTAACACTATACCTCTCTGCTGGAGGTGCAAAAGTATTTCCGATCCCTCCCTCCCCATCTCTTGTAACATTGGTGTCATTCACTTCATTTACCTGTAAGCTATAATTACTGAATGCGTTGTTACTAATATGACTTTAAACATAGTGTTATCTGTCAGATTAAATAGAAATAACAAAAATAAATCATTTTATTTTGCCTTCATTTAACTTCCTCTAACACTCTACTTTTCTTTATCATTACTTTCTGACAATTTTTTTTAACTTTTCTTACAAAGCAGGTATGCTGGTAACGAATTCCCTCATTTTTGTTTTTCTCTCTCTTAATTTCTCCCTCTCTTTTGAAACATAGTTTTGCTCTACACACAATTCTAGTAGGGTGGTGTTTTTTTCCACACTTTAGATACTTCACTAAGCTCTCTTCCTACTTGCATAGTTTCTGAAGATAAGTCTGATTTAATTATTAGCCATGTTTCAATATTACTAAGGTCCCTCCTCCCCAGCTTCTTTCAAAATGTTCTCTTTATTACTGATTTTGCTCAAGCTTGAATATGATATTTCTAGGTGTGTATTTTTTGGTTTTTATCTTGTTTGGTGTCCTCTGAGCTTCCTGGATCTATGATGTTTGTCATTAATTTGGAAAAAATTACAAGTCTTCATTGCTTCACGTATTTATTATTATTTTTTAATCTTTATTCCCCTGTATGTAGTCCCACTATGTGTATGTTGCGCCTTTTGTAATTATTCCAAAATTCTTGGATTTCTGTTTTGTCTTTTTTGTTTTTTTTCATTTCTGTGTGTTTCAGTTTTGGAAGGTTGTATTCGCAATTCCCCAAGATCACTGATTCTTTCCTCACACATTATCTCAGTGTCGAGAGTCCCCCCCACCCCCAAAAAAACAGGAATTCTTCACTTCTGTTTTGTTGTTTTAACATTTTTTACTTCTTGCATTTCTCGTTGGGTTGGTTCGTTCTTAGAGTTTCCATCTCTGCCTACATTACCTATCTGTTCTTGCATGTGATCCATCATTTCCTTTATAGCACTTAGCACATTAATCATAGTTGCTTTATGTTTCAGGTATGATAATTCCAAGGTATCTGCTACATCTGAATTATGTTCTTTTGCTTGTCCTATCTCTTCAAACTGTGTCTTTAATTCTGTTAGTATGACTTGTAGTTTTCTTTGTTGAATGCCGGACATGATGTACTGTGAGAAAGGAGCCAAGGTGAGTAGGCCTTTAGTGTGAGGTTTTATGTTTATCTGACTAGGGTTTAGGCTCTATTTACTACTTGCTGTGACTGTCAGAGGCTAAAATACCCTCAGGTGTCCCCGGTTTTGTCTCCTATGTCATCTTTAGGGTGCCACAGAGGCTTCTTAAATAAGTGCTGACACTGCAGTGTGATTTGGTCTCAGTATTTTAATGAGCCTGTGTTCCGTTCCAGCCTCTTCTGTGGTGTAATAAGAAAGATGTTAGATCCTTGTCCATGGTTCCTAGCAAATACCTCCTAAAGCCCTTGGACTTTCTGAGTGATAAGATAAGGGAAGCATCTTATGTTCTAATGAGGTGACTGTTTGCAGGCCCCTCAGTGGCTTCAGGATGGGGCTTGGTTACCAGGAGGACCAAGCTTTGATGAGAGCCTTAGAAGTTTCAGCCCAGCCCCTGCCTCTGGGGAGAGGAGAGGGCTAGAGATGAGTTATTCACCAGTGGTCAATGATTCAGTCAGCCACGCCTAGTTGAGGAAACTCCATCCAAACTCCTGGACCTCGGGATTGAGAGACACCGGAGTCGGTGAACACATCAGTGTGCAGGGAGGCCGTTACATCTGGAGAGGGTGTAGAAGCTCCCAGTCCCTCCACCCCCATCTTGCCCTGAGCACCTTTCCCAGTCTGGCTGTTCCTGACTTGTATTTTACAATAAACTGATAATAGTAAGTAAATTGCTCTTTTGTTAGTTCTGATCATTGTTTTAGCAAATTAACAAACACAAGGGGGTGTCCTGGGATCCTATATATTTGTAGTTCACAATAA